GATTTTTGTTTACATACTTGACCTTGAAATATCAAGTACTGAATTCTGAAAGGCGTGACTACTATGTACATTCGGAAAATTTCACGGAAAATGAGCTAATTATAGACCATGTTCACGAATCTCGAGAAATAAATTAGTTATTTCACGAATCACGGGAGTACTTTCGTTCACGGATCGCGGGAAATAATCTCGTTCTTTTACGATTCACGGCAATTAAAAATAGGCATTCACGGTTCACGAAAAACCCCCTTTCCGACCCTCTTTTAATTACTTACGGGGCAAACTCTCGCATCTTAGATTACTACTTTTTTAGCATCACCTGTGTCACATTAAAGCAATTTTCACCCCACTTACAAAGATTTGCTATAACAGCCGTAAATTCAGGGTCAATTCCACGTTTTATTCAATCCAGTGAACTACGCTCAGGACATTGTTCGAATACAATATCGTATGAGAAATTCTAACAAACAAGCCAAGTGTCCTCGTCCGTAACCTTGAAAATTGCTACAATATCCGTAATGATTCCGTAATTGAATTGAATTGAATTGAATCTTGAATTGAATCTTTATTAAGGCATAAGATAAATAATCACATATCCTATGTTACAACTTTAAAAGAAACTATATATATATAAATTACAGAGAAAGTCAAGATAAAAATTATAAGACTAGATTATGTTTAAAAATTTAGCGGTTGACAAACGTATTTTTGAACCTATCAGTGTTTATTTTAGGATGGTGACTTGTCTCTTTCCTCAGATTGTACTTGGTTGATTTCTTTTTTGGCATTATAGCTCTTAAAGGGTGTGTTGTATTATTAAAAAAATTCTTGAAGATACGTGTGTCTTGTTGATCTAACAATTCATAGACATTAATGTGGTCGGATGTATATTTGCGCTTTTAACATCGATCTAAGAAACATTGGATTGTTGTTAATTCGGAATTTACAGCGCCAAATACGGGCAGCCCGTATAATATATTTGGTAGTAATGTCCCATTCTTTCGAAGTGTCGAATGACAAAACCTCGGCAGAGCCTGAGTCTAGTGCCCTGCAGGAAACCTAGCAGTTATATTTGATTTTATTCTAAAAGAAAAGCGATATTTTGTCTCCACTACGCAACAAATAACGCAGTAGTGTATATCAAATAAGTTTATTTAGGGAAGCCTGCCGTGAACCAACCCGAGGCATATATTGCCCAAGGCATACATACATGTATACGTTCGCAACTGATATAGAGGTTTTGCACAGCAGCCATGTTGGATGGCAGGAACAATGAAAATATTTTGCATTAGAAAGTAAAATTTTTCTCATGGGTAAAATAATCTATTGTTCCTGCCATCCAACATGGCTGCTGTGCAAAACCTCTATACCATATACAATCCTGGTATACAATCAATTCCTTGCAAGGTTGGTTCTGAGGCCTTGATGGACAGCACGTGCTAAACTTTATTAATATACCACTGCATCATTTACCCATGATGCTCGGGTCTAAGGTCCGGGGCTTGTCGTATCTCGTGCCGACAAAATATTTATTAATTTCTGCCTTATTCGCAGACTCAATCGTCAGAAATACTATTTTTTACAGTTTATGGCTCAAATACCAAATGAATCAGTTCACAATTGATTTCAAACGAAATCCTCGGTCGGATATCAATTCAAATGTGCACTTAGGAAAGCGAACATGCAAAGTCTTTGTTGTTGTTTGCTTTGTACAATTTCATAAAATGAGCTGGTCTTTATTACAGTATATCGTAATATTGAACAGCGACATAGAATTTTAAAACTAATTCTTTGTTTTTTCGCCTCAAGGGAATTACGTCACGCTTCAAACGAATCACGTAACGCTCTTTATTGACGAATGTTTTGCAGTAAAGCAACGATTTGATCGCATATTACATTAATTTCGCATTCAGGGTTCGGGTAAGTTATAAACTAGGACGAGAATATCTGTGACGCTAAAACGTTTCGCCTCGATTAATGTCTGAGCTGTTTAATTTCACTGCGAAATTCGTTTGAAGAACCTTTATGAATTCATGCTAGAGACATTGATCTCGCGAATGTTATGTTACGGTCGCTTTGATCATCAGCTTGTCAGTCACGCTTTGAACTGTATGTGCCTTCGTTAATTTTGACTTTGTATTTCGATAGTTTTTGGATAAATAGTTTTAAAATAGGCCAAAAATCAGACGGATAAGATTGACAACAATTCTGTGCAATGTAGGGTTGCTTACAGTAATGGACAAACCATTTTTTAGCGTAAAATGTAAATATTAACAAACAAAGGCAATTTGTGTCAGCTGCGCGGTCAAGCGTGACTCTAGATTACTCACCGTTAACAATCAAAAATTTTAATATGCATTTAAAAATTTGACTGAGATGGACAGTTCTCGCTCGTTATTGAACGTTCTTGGTTTGAAGCGCGAGTAAAGTTGCTCAAAAAGGGCAAAAGATTCTGGATGGAAATTACTAGAATTGCATGTCATCAAATTCAGTATTCAAGGAGAGAGTCGACCTTCCTATTAAAGTAAGTGTACGAACTAACTTCTTTATCAACTTTGTTATGATGGTATTTACTATTATGCTCTAACACGGTTTTGTGTGTAGAATTATTTTCTCTTTCGTTAAAAAACATGCTGCTTTATTCCGAAATACGGCCACCTATTCTCAATATTTTATTAAATTCTAAAGTTTGGTCCGAGTTTATGAGTTTCATTATGAAATATTTCTGTGCTTAGTGAGCTGAGAGTTTATAACTTGTACAAACATTGATCACCCGAGTCGCTCATGTACTTGGTGATGCCACTAGATTCTAACCGCTTCGCAACAGATTTGAAATTAAGAGTTTCCGTTAAATATTTGAACGCTTCAGTGACCGGCCCATATGTATGGTAGAGCAATCATTTTTAACCGAAGCATGCAGATTTAATGGTCTATAGAATTCATTATCTTTTAACAATGGTGTGCATGAGTTGCCGAACAGTCTATTAAAGACCAGCTAAATCGTCCTGTTAGACGGTTCAATCCGTAGTTTTTGCTCACTTTCTCGGCTATTTTCAACCAAACTGAAGTGATTATCCCACAAGAGTCTATTTTTGATTGAGCAAAACTAGCCCAGTTCTTTGTATATTTGTTAACTTTGAACCTTCTGGTACTGTCGAATACATGCTTCGGATAACAACCATTCATGCATAAAAAACGGGTGAGGTTTTATTGGCATTTCTATGTGATCTTTGAAATGCACTATGCACTAAGTCCCTATTTGGGCGAAAATTACCGAACAAAACTATCAGAAGTCATTTTATTTTCACCACACCAATTCGATCTAGAATGATCTCTCGTCACATTTTCGAGCTCAAGTAAAGATAACGTTGTTAATAAAGGTGCGCAATATTTGCAACCAACCGCGACATAACATTTCCTTCGTAATTAATTTTGTCTTATAGATGCAATTTAATTCAGATTATACATACCACTAGAAAGCTTTGGTTACAAATTCACCGAAATCAGCAAAATTGTCGTTATGTTTTGTTTGACCAAAGCTCAAAAGCTGCAAAGAGCTATGTAACATTATTCAACAGTGATTTTTTTTGTCTGTCATTTGACAAAAACGCATAAAATGTCCATATGAAATTATAGACCAGTTCCGTATGAACGGATGTAAAATGGAACTACATAAGTTGGCTCGTAATTATTTCTAAGGCTTAAAATTGTTGTTCTTGGTTCGTTTACGCAATAGTCTTCATGTAGAAGTCTCCGGTCGTGAAGCCATTGGTCAAGAATCCTTTTCAGTTAAGTCTTTAGAAAAGGAGAATTTTGAAAAAGCTTTACAGCGTCGTCCAAATCTCAATCTCCAGTTTCTCCCGGTTCGCTATGCTCTTTTACTCTTATGTTAAGTTTGGTAGCGAATGTTTCGCAAGAGTTTCTCAAATCTGCGTCAGCAGAGTGCAAAGCCACGGACTCGGTAAAATACCCTGGGTCCTTGGTCATCAATATCAATTTCAGAAATAGATGGTACAGTAACGTAGTTTTTTTCGCTAGTAAAGTTACAAACCAGCTGATAACTCAACAGTCTTTAACAACTGTTTCACGAAGATCAAAGTTGTTTTGACATAAAATTTCCCAAACTTTTCTTTACACTGAAATGGAGGATTAAAAGACTTTCTATTTACGACAACCCTCTTAGAAAACAACTCTGTTGTTGTGATCATTGTGCGGCAGTCATTGTTTCAATCCAAAGCCAAGCGGAAACGACTTTCCCTTAGGCATCTATTTGATCTCGCAGGAACTGGATTTCAAGAGCAAGCTTTTCCTTCTCCATAATCAACTTGTCCTTTTCCAAAGCCAGCTTTTCCTTTTCCAGTAAAAGTTTTTCCTTCTTGAGTTTATCTATTTCATCCCGCACGTGCGAACTGGGTGACTCATTCCTATATTCGGAATTTCTTTTCTTTTTGATCACGTGCGCCAGCGGAGAGGAGAGCATTCGTTTCTGTTGCAGCATGAGAATGCGATGCCTGTCCCCTCCGCCTATAGAAGCATTCGCTGTGATCATATTAGGTTGACTAGGCAACTTCTTGACTTCCGGAAAGGAGGAGACAACGTTCATGGGAACGGAAGATCTACCATGAAAACCGCTACTGTTTGGAAGGACCTGACATGGGATCTTCTCCAGATCTTTCGAACTCGGAGTATGTCGGTTGAAAGCCGAGAAACAGGCTGCTTCTCCGCTGGAATTTTCCCGATGAGTGTCCTCTACAGTCTGCTCATTGTTTGAGGCTGTGAAAACTGTTTCTTCAGATTTTGCCACAACATGCACAATTTGTGGCTCTCCATTTTGCTCGGCAAGCTCCCCCTCCTCTTGTTCTCCGTCCTCCGATAAACCTTGCTCTGACTGATCAGTTTTGGCAAAACTGCTATCGATGCTCATCCCCGCTCCCTCTCCGATCCCACAATTAGAGGTCGTTATGCGTAATATCTCTATAATTTTCTCACTCACGGGTGACAATTTCTTAGGCGCTACTTGTTCGCCACTTTCTGAATGTGCGGTCGATTCCAACAATTCTTTCTTTGCCGCGCGAACCATGTTTTTCCATTTTCTCTTTAAATCGTTAGCAGTACGTAGGACGATCGGATTCTTGCTGTTATAATCTCTGCAAATGCCCTTCCACACTTCGACCTTTTGTTTGTTGGTAGTCGCATCGTTCAACTTCGAAGTGAGTATTTCCGAGTTTCGCTCAAACTGAGAGATTAAGAACAAGCTTTCTCCCTCCGTGAAGTTAGGCTTTCGTTTGTTGGCGACGAGGACTACATCTTGACTGTCAGCGCTGCGTGTGTCGCCGGCGTAAGTCATCGCTGCAAAACGAACAACACTACCTCGACTGAACCAAATTCGCACGGATAAGTCACTGATTTGAATGAAATTAAAATTACAACTTCTACTTGGCTCTGAAAGAAGATCGTGCCGAAATCAACGTGTGACACACTTCACTCACTTTTGGCGTCTATATCGAGGTGACCTTTGCTGATATTGGCGCTAAGTCAAAGACCTAAGTTAGCCCCGTTGTTCGAAGAGACACGCTTTAATTTAATACGGGTCTTAAAATAGAAATGGCAGACGAACAATGCGGCTTTAGTGCACGAATTATGTTAATCCGATGACGTCACGGGCTGATTACCTAAAGTTGATACTGACAATATAATCTTTGTGTCAGGTTAACACTGGGTGGCTCGAAAGCCAAAATAATCCTTAGATTTTTTTACTTTCGAATAGCTCGTATCGCTGTATTTTCAAGAATATTTCACTCTCTTGCCTGTGCGATCGGTGACATACGCTGCGGTCAGGTAGCGATTTCGTGCCAGAAGTTTTCACAATTTAATGTACTAAATCGTAATTTGACCGGCGGATGAAACAAATAAACATGATCCACGCAGGTGGGCTTTGACTGAAAAAAATTGAAGAAAAGAAGCCTGAAAATAATTTAGAATCTACCGGGCTTCCAAATAACCAGTTGGCATTACCGTCATCATGCTGAGGTACGAAGTGACAAATTGGGAGCTTGGCAAATGTGTGTCTTCCTTCCCCTAAAGGAATTTGATCTTAGTACGTCACAAGTTCAAATCCTGTGGAAACTAGCTGAATATTTTAAGACCTCTTTACTGTATTTACTTTTATTGTACTTTACCTGCAAGGATTCCATTTCTTATCTTGTGGCAATTACTTGGCAGTTTTTTTTGACAACCTGTTTTGCCGTCGGCTGGTCAGCTTTACGTCGTCTACCAGATACGTGCCCAGTTTTTCTGTAGTTTCCAGATCTTCTCCTATCCTGTCCTTTTGGCAACCTGTTTAGCTGTCTATTTGGCTAGCCTGCTCACTGTCATTTAGAAAGCTTTGGACAGCGTCTGGCTGTTGGTATTGAAACGATACCTAGCAGTTGGATGTAAACATTTTTTACTGGCCGCTCACGGTTATACCTTTTGAGAAATGCTGGCAGATCAAAAACATTTCCCTGGAATCATGTATCATCGGTACTGATATCCACCTGAACTGCATTCGATATCTTTTCAACTAAGTTCAGGAATTCAAGTTAGGAAACAACAACACATAAGTAATGTTCAAAACCTTACAAGGGGCCAGTTCGCGATAAGCTTTATGCTTTATGATCTCCTACCAAATATTTCATGGCGAAGACTTAAATCAAAAACAAATCATTGGGGTACGACTCTAAAGTTAGACCGCGACGCTAAAAGCAGAAAAAAAAAAAAAAAAAAAAAAAAAAAAAAAAAAAAAAAAGGAAAATAAAAAACGGACTGGCAGCAGAACTTTGATGTTTTCCCCAAATGAGCTCATAAATTTCGAAAGTGCAATAGCACAATGGACAAAATAGGATCACGCGGTTACCAGACCTCGAGTATTTTATGGAAAATGCTAGAAGAGGCAAAGAAGATAGACAGGACACTAAATTAGAAACAACTTGCTTCAAGTCAATAGTCTCCCAACTCGGCTTCAGTTCAGGGCCAAAAAAAAAAAACAAAAACAAAAAAACAAATAATTTGAGCATTCTTTGTAGCAGAACGAATCTTTCTCCGTGTTTTGGGCAACATCGACAAATATCTAGGTGTGACATGGCGGCGTGGATACCCGACATGGCAGGCTTCGTAAGCTCTCATTTCACCGCGAGCGGTTCCTGGCTTTTTTTTCCCCATACATGTCTTTCTGTGAATCGAAGCGTGGGTGAACTGTTTTCAAAATTTTTGTGACTACCACTCTATACACACTGCTGTAAAGTCGAGCTAGAAAATTGAAGTAGTGTAAATTACAGAAATTTCAACTTTGTTATTTTCGTAATTTTCGCAAATCAATTAAGCTAATCTCTAAGATTAATCCATCTGATCTTCCGAAGTATTGTTACATTATTATTTAAATCAGTGTTTTTGCTTTCACTTTTATTTATTTTACCAAATGACCTGGCGAATCCAAAAGGAGTGCAGACAGACGGCGGCAAATATCGCTAAACACCAAAATTATTAATCTGCAGTTAGTCTCGGTATCTCCTATCAAGCTTCGCTCGCGTAAAGGTATGATCGTTTCTCTGATCACGCATCCTCGCACTCTTTTCAAATAGCTGAAGTCTGACAAAAAGAGAAACAAAAAAATAAAAAGACAGTAGGGCGGGTTCACATTTCTTCCTAACTGGTCTTAAGCACCTCTTTCCGTTTCTTTTGAATACTGATCTTGTGCCGCGAAACTTCCCGTGATTAAAAATCAATTTTTATTTTTGTGGAAAGAAGTCTCGACACCACTTTTTTCTGTCGTTAGTCTTAAAAACCGACATACACATCGGCAAGTCAACGGGAAATTTTGTTATATTTCCTATCCTACTTCAGTTGGACAAAGGGGGATGGCGGTGGAGTGGGGATAAGGAAGAGCCAATCTACCGCTTAAATTTCTAGCACTCTGATCCCATTCTCTTAAAGTATATATTTCATGTAAGGGGCCTACTATTCCGTTTTTCAAATTTCAACCTCAGTTTGAAATTTTCTTAATTTCCAGTTTAATAAACCCAAATTCTGTACGTGTGATCGACAGCAAAACGGTCCAAAGCTGGATCTAGTTTAACCTGCACTCTGCTGACAAAGCATCATTTGTGTTGGTAATCAAATTTGATATCTGTCTCACCGTTCTATGAAAGACCTAGGTACCCACATGGGTATTTCTTTCAAAAATGATATGCCGCAGAGAGACAGGGCGTTCACCCGAGTTTCTGGTCTTCCGTATCACTGTGATTTTTTTTATTGTGAGTTTCCTTACCGGGTTCTTTTTCCAAGTAAAACACGTATATTCTCTCACATTTTCTCCACCCAAACTCCGGTTGCAGTTGTGGCTCCTGTGCTCCAGATGTTAGACAGTATATAACTCAAGCTGGAACATTTGGTAGTCGGGGGAATTCACCTTCATGCTAAGTATTTTTAAAGGATCTCATTTCAATTGAACTCAGTCGCCCGTTAATCCGTTGCGCCATAAGCCAAATTTGCATGATTTATGATTACAATCTGTCGGTGACGGCCGGAAATGTGTTTCATCGGCTTGGTCAATTCATTTTTATCGCCAGGGGCCGTAATCTGGAAACTATGGTAAACACTCAACTTGGATTTTTGACCTCAGAATAGTAAGTGTTGTTGAATAATAGCCCTTGAGCCAATTTGAAATTTGAATTGCAATTCAGTTCCAACATGCAAGAACGATTTGTCTTTTGCTGTTATGAGAATGCAGCAGATTGTGAACATGATAACTTTTTCACACTAATTTTGCACAGAACTAGTTTCCTTACATTTTTAAAGGACTTTTGTTCTTTGCGACCTTTCTCGATTTTTCTGTTAAATCAGACGTTCAAGTCGACTTTACTACAAATACAACTGCTCTACGTCAATAATTCCTTCAGGAAGACTCTCTGGTTTTCGCCCTTTAATTAAGTCATATCCTTGGGCCAAGTTTCCTCAGTCTTTTATGTCTTTAAAGCGTTCTCAGATTGGATTAAAATTGACCTGTAAATGTTGAAACAAAAGGAAACTGCAGTTAAATTAGTGGATTTTTCCTTGTCTATGACACAAGTATGGTAGTTCATAGGTCAGGTTTCGGCAGGAATATCATGATTGCGTCAATTAAAATCATTACGGTGGCTAATTTACCATTTCAAATTTGTTGATATATCCAAATTGAAATAAAAACTTGTTTAATGGATGTTAATGGCACAACGCCACAACAGAAAAAATTTCCTTCGAGAAATTAACCCACTGTCGGCCGGCCTTTTTTCAGCGACTCAAGCTGCAAGGTTGCGGTTTGCTGGCGACGCATACTAGTAAGGAACCCCTGATAGGTAGTTCATTCTCTACGCGCTGCTTCCCCCCTGGGATTGATTCTTTCTCTACGATCTCATTGGAAGAACTAGTTCCTTTAATCATGATTAACTGTTCTTTTCTCTGTTGTCTCTCGTCTTTCAGTAACAAAGTTCTTAGCAAGCAGGTCATAGATCATGATGGATGACTTCTTCAAATGTCACGTTCTCCTTACGTTACGCCCCATTTCTACCACATCAGAGTGAATAATACTTAAGAAAATGCCCAGAATCTTAGATGTGCACCGTAAAGGTCACACCAACTCGATCTTGAGTCTGAGTGAAGGACTGATTATCTTATTTGTGGCTTCAAGTGTTCTCGTCCTTGGTGCACTTTGTAAATATCTTGGGAAATTATGCCGCAAGCTTTGGAAAAAACCGCGATGGAAGAGGAAATCAAAGAGGAGACATTCAAAACGCGTAGAACAAAGTAAAGGAAGCGCGCCTGTCAAACGCTCCGGATCCTTTAAATCCGGAGAGGGTGTAGTTGTGTCACCGCAGTTTACTATTCCGTCGTCCCACAGCTGTTTGATACAGCAGCCATACCCAGATCTCTCGCAAGGCAGGACGGGAAAGACCAATGAGGACAAACGCCTCTCGTAAGTGATAAATTCGGCTGGTTCACTGCTAAGTCACTGGTTTACTAAAAGATGGATCCTTATATTATTTAGTAGCTGACTAGTTGCGTAAACAACTTGCTGTCTGATCGACTAGTCAACTAGCTGACTGCCTGATTAAGTGATCGACAAATAGCTAAACTCCCCAGCTGTGTGACTGATTAAATGTCTGACTGGTTGTCTAAATGACTAACTAACATGCAGAAGAATGGCAAGTAGTGTAAATAACTGACTGAGTGACTAACTACTGACCGACTAATTCACCGTCAAATATGACCAACTGGTTGACTGGTTGACTGGCTGACTGAATGAGTGACAGACTGAGTGACTGACTGTCTGGCTGACTGAATGAGTGATCAGCTGACTAACTGACAGGCAAGCTGACTGATTGGCCAGCTAATTGACAGACCGACTGGCTGACTAACAGGCTCATCGATTGGGTTGTAAGACGACCAATTAATTGCTGGCCTGTTAACATCTCAACTGATTGCCTGATTGACTGAACGAGTGTTTGACTGACTGGTTGATCTGTGGGCCTGCTTCGTCTGAATCAACCAAGCAATAAGGTGTGGCCAACCTAACGCATATTCTGTTTTGTGTAGGTTGGTATCTTTTTATCTCAGAGAAGAAGAAATTGGCAAACTGAATCCCCAATTGTACCAGAACTACGAGAGAACGGTGCGGATAGGCATGGACAAAGAACTTGGGCAACTGAATTTAATCCTCAAATACAAAGGGAAAAGCAGGAATCTCTCTATCACGCTGGTCAGCGGTAAAGGCTTTCCACCACGTGACTTCTCTGGTAGTATCGACACTTGCGTGACAATTTGTGTCCTCCCGAATCGTGAACGGCGGAAGCAAACAGCAATTCATAGGCGATCTATGAACCCTCAGTACAACGAAAATTTTGTTTTCAATATTCAAGTTGGTGAAGACATTTATGCACATAGCCTTCTACTAACCACGTACTTTTATGATAGTTTTTCTCACGCCCATGTTTTGGGTCAGTGTTAGGTGCCTCTCATATATTGTGACTTTTCAAGTGAAACCATTGTGTGGTGTTATCTAGACCATCCTTGTGGTTCGGTGAGTGCTATTAATTAGACACATCATTTTTTTTTTCATTGTCACTATTGTTATTGTACTTACGCCAGCTTTATTTTTTCTTTTAAATTAGAGAGGAGGTGTAATTCCAATTTCGTATTTGTCTGGCCTGTTTTGGAAAAACAGAGTTAGGCGAGAACAGTAACGATGTTCGTCTCCATCTTCGAAGTTGTGCAGACACGGCCGAAAATCCTGCATCTACTTAATCGACTCATTATCTGTTTGCATTTAGCTCAGATTACAAAGCCAATAGAACTCATTAGTGTTAGCTTGAAGTAAGATTTGTACAGATTTAGATTTAACTGAATGGGAGCGCGTACTCATTTCCCGAACAACGACAGGTTCATTGCCCTCTTCATGATAACGACAGGACAGAACAATTGTGTTACCTTCATGCGTTTCCATGTTGTTTTCAGTACACCACCTTGGTGGGGGCATTGCAGAGCCTTGTGACTTCAGAGTGTGGTGATCTGCTGCTGTCTCTGTGTTACGTCTCTAAGGACCAGACTCTCACGGTTGCCATAATGAAGGTTGTAAACCTAGCTGAAGGACGTCTGTCATCTGTTGGTAGGTTTTCATTCTATTATCATTCGGAATAAAATTCAACTCTGATGGTGATGTAAAGAAGTAGCACAAAAAGGGAGGATAGTAGGGGATCAGTCCTCATTTATTTGGGGAAGGGGTGGAGTCGGATGGTTTTCAGGGGGAACGGAGGGGGAGCATTCCTTGCCAACAGAACCTAAGAGGGGAGGGAGGACGATAGAAAATTGACCGCCAATCAACTACTGATGAAGGGGGGGGGGGATCTTAAGAATATTTCAGAGCCTTGTGGAGGAATCAGGTCAATTTTGTCCTGACGCAACCAAAATCCCCCCACCTCTCCTCGGGCGTTCTCTACAATTATAAACGAGGCGTTATAAGGGTTAACGAAAATTGTTGTAAACGATTTCAAAGTTATATATCGTAATAAAGTGAAGGGGGAGAGCTTTTTCTCGTATTTTTGAAGTTATTTTTCAGTGTTACTGCACTCTTGATATTATTCAGTAAAAGAGATTGTAATGGAGTATGCTTGTGTATACAGATGGTATTCAGATGTTTTGATTACCTGACCGTCATTGAAAACTGCTTTCTCTTTAAATATTTTTTCAGAGAAATTATACACTAAAGCAACTCTCCTTCACGACAATAAAAAAATTGCTAAGAGGAAAACAAGTTTGCAGGAAATCGGTGATATTCACACGGTTTTTAATGAAGCTCTGTTGTTCCGTATCCCTGGAGAGAAGCTTATCAGTTGCACATTGAAAATCTCCGTCAACCATTACAACGTCATGGGTAAAAGTTCCAGCCTCGGTGAGGTCACCTTCAGCGCGGAGTCGACTGGACTCGAAGATGCGCATTGGACCAGCGTGACTTCAAAATACGACAAACCGGTTACGATGTGGCACACGCTTCGAGGATTCAAGTTTATGGAGACTAGTAGAGAGGACAGAGAACCTCTCTCGCCGAATTAAGCAACAAAGAAAAGATATTTAGCTAAGCTCGATTTGAGATCTCTCTTTCAGTGGACAAATTGTTTACTAAAAATCTGTTTTAAGTCAGCACGTGGCTCAAAAGTTAAAAGCGATGGCAATGATATTGTACGATTAAGTCAAGAAACAAGTAGTTGTTCATGTAGTGGTTTAGATCTCTGAGCAACCAATTACGTAAGTGCTTCTCAAAAAGCGCCTAAGCGCGCGCATGCTCTTCTTCGTAGGAATACGCGATAACTATCACTAAATTATAGGGTCCTTTTACGGACAAACATTTTTATTTAGAATGAGAGATCTTGTTTAGGTGTTTTAGCAATTCTTTTAGCCAGGTATTGTTAAAAATTTGTTACAAAAAAAGGTTAGAGGACAATGCGAAGCGGCCGTGGCTTAAGATTTTTTATCAAATGCACAGTACGTTTTCAAAATAACATGATAGACTTTCATAGAATCTCCTTGCAGACGTTTTTATATAATAAGAAGAATCATCTAAATACAACCACCTAGTCCAGCTTTAAAAATGCCGATTTTGATATAATGCGCGCTGACATTGCTTTCAGTCAAGTTGAGAAAAAATGAATAATTAAAAAATAAGAACATAAATAGACATTGACATGAATATCTGGGAGGCTTAGAGTTTTGATGAGGTGGTAAAAGCCTAGTCTGGTATAAGAGTTGAGTTTGCAAATGTGCTGTACCGTGCGTGTAGAATAGACCCTCCTTAACACTGAAACAATTCTAAATCAGCTTCATGGAGTGTAAATATTTACTTCAGCCTTCCCCTTTAGACAGTCTCGCCAGTTTGAGTGGTTTAATTTCCGAATAAACTTCTCTTTTTTATATACATGTTCGTTTGTTTGATTGTTTTTTTTTTTTTGCGACCTGCATGACTGGCATCCTATTAGCCGTTTCATTAACCCTTTACACTCCAATATCAGTTTGCATATTCTCCATACTATTTTGTATTCTTATCCAAAGGAGAATTTGTTTAACATTGAAGAGCTGCTTCAATGATGATAGTGATCATCTGCTTTATTCTTGTGACCTGAAAGTTTGATTCAGGGGTGAAATTAGATGTTCAACACTCTCGGGAGAGGAGTATGATCGAGAGCGTTATATTCCAAATTCCGCTGCAATATGGCGGGTTTTCGCCATGGGCGTGACATTCCCTGCACGTGACAAACTTATTCGAGAGTCACGCGACAGATGTGGAAACGAATTCTGACGTTAAAAATTTCAATATGGCGCGCGAGATAGCGCAAAATGCACCATACCGGAAGTAAGATTCGACTACGACGACTCAAAAAAATCATTTACGATCTTCGTTGGAAATACAACGGTGTTTATTCCATAATCCTCTCATAAGAAGAAGGACGGAGGTTAGTTTATGATCCTAAGATGTCATATGATTTGTCCGTCCTCTTTTTATCGATCTTGTGACGATCGCAAGATTTCCTACATCACTGCTTACTAGTATAGTTGAGTGTGGCTGCGAAAAAAAAATGCTCTGCCTACTTCGAAAGTAAGATATATTACACAGGAGAAATCAGACAAGGAACATTGCTAGCAATGAACACTTGTGGTATAGTTAGCGAACATTAGCAACCACAACAAGGTTTTGACACTGTGCATTATCAGAAGGGCCCAGTCAGGTGTAGTTCACAGTCTGTGTTCTACGTGTGTTCCACGTTATCGTACAAATTTGACGTTGCTTCGATGCCAATTCCACATGGTAGTATCTCACATTATTCCTTATTACCTTGAGTTTTATTTCACATGATATGTTGTATAGTATCATAAGATATCCCCCATGATCAGTTAATCACAAGACACACACAATATCACATGGCCTCTTGTGTTATCAGATGATTATTCAAATTTACTGCTGACACCAAATCATTATATTGCCATTTGGGGAATGAAAAGAAAACACTGTACAGTAAAGTACTAGAAGACCACTTAACCATTTACAGAGGTAACCAACCACTTTTTAGTGAGAGTAGTGAGCTTTCAGCCACATCATTTGATTAATGGACATTTGTACCTTACCATCTCAGAGACAGAATCAGCCAAAATTAACTGATTTAAAAAGAGGGTGGTAATTGAATTGAGCTAACTGCCTCCCGGTTATCTCAATTGGTTAAGTGCTGGACTGTTGTGCGGGAGATCGAGGGTTCAAGCCCCAGCCGGACCAACACTCAGGGTCTTAAAATAACTGAGGGGAATGTACTACTTTTCTATAACATCAAGAAATGGATAGACATTCTAGTCTTCTCGGATAAGGACTCATAAACCGTAGGTCCCTTCTCCTGCATCTATTAATTAGTTAATTTGGTTAGGCAGGGGATGTTAAAGAACCCACTCACCAGATTACTGTAATGTGGCCTGGCCAGTTTACTGGGAACTGGGGGAGGGGGCATCTGTTAGATTCACCTTTATTTGATTGTAAACTGCTTAGCAGTCTGGTAAAAGTCCCCCGCACAGTGTTGCAAAGTGCCATGAGCTCAGGATACAAGCGCTATATAAATAAAAGTTATTATTATTATTATTATTATTATTATTATTATTATTATTATTAAAGGGGGGGATCCTGTACATGTTTCACATACGTCAAAAAGTAGAAATAATGTTTTTCAAAAGAATCTGGTAAACAACTTTAAGGTTCATGTATCACTAAAAGAAAAAAATTAACAGTTCAGAGAGTTTAACTTCATATTTTCATTGGTCATGAAAATTTGAAACACTTTATCCCATATCAGACAATGACCCTTTCCCCCCTGTTAAGGTGTTATATTTTGTCCAACTTAAAGAAAATGTTGTGAAAGCTGACAAAAATCAGTGAAAATGCTTCAGGAAAATTTCACCAATTTTCAATACACACCCTTTGGAAAATCATTTCCAATTGCTTGGAAACTCTTCACATCTGACAGTTGCTAAAACGGTGACATTAGACACAATTTGCTTAAGATTTTCATTAGGGAGGGATAGGGCTGGCAGTTGAGGAACCCATACTTCCCTTACTCAAGGTTATTATACTTATGTATTCTCTTGGTAGTGTCATCTGATCATCAAGGTGAGAGTTGTCCTGAAAAGGATGTTTTTGGAAGCAGTGACTGATATTTCAAAAGCCTGACTCTGATGGCAACTTCAGCTCAAGGCTAACTGTTACTAGTGGAGTCACACCACTTTCTGCATTATCTAATCTTTAGACACATTTTTTATCTTTCTTCTATCTGAACATGTTGTTGATTTTCATTTAAAGTTATCATTTTTACAGGTTAAGTGACTAAACTGCTGTAAGTGATAAAATGGTAAGGTATTGGCCTGTTATAGAACTTCTTACATTTCTAAACTTTTTTGGAACAACTCTGTTGGAGATTATTGCTCAAAAGCATATCTACAACAGTACAGTGAAAGATCATGCAGACTTTGAGCAACTCAATTGTTGTGAAACATCAGATGATGCTTCTTACGGTAGTGTGAAAGACCCTGGTCTCATTTCAGCTGCTACTGAACATTGGTTACTTTACAAAAATTTGGCATCCCTTTTGGTTGCAATACCATCAACAATACTTCTGGGAATCTGGAGTGAGGCTGAAGGACGCAAAAATGTATTGGTTGCTACCTTGATCGGCATTGCCTTGCGTGCAGCCTTGTTTACCATTATTATAAAATTTAAAGCACCACTGTACTTTTTTGCGATTGCCAGTCTAATAACGAGTGCTGTGGGATACAACACCAGCTTCATGGCTTCATGCATGGCGTACATGGCTGACATTACAAGTAGTGGACAAAGAACTTTAAAAATTGTATTCATAGACTGTGTTGCAGGTATTGGAATTGGCTTGGCTTCTTTTATCAGTGGGTTCTATTTGGAAAGTGAATTTTTCAATAATTTCCTCTGGCTTATCATGGCTATCATGATTTTTAACATTTTCTGTGTAGTCTTCTCACTGGAAACAAATGTTTTCATCCATGAACTTATTCCAATCTGCAAATGCAGTTACTTTGTGGGCATGTGGAAAATTTTCAGTCATGATCCAGGAAATGGTCGAAGATGGCGCCTAGTGACATATAGCACTGCATTATTTATTGGAGGAATGGTATTTTATGGGACAAATTATCTGATCCTTTTCCATGCTCAAACATCTCTTTGTTTTAGCCTGATACTGATGGCATTCTTATCTGCTTCTCTGGCTCTGCGATATATTGTAAGCCTGGCCTTTGTCAAGTTGTTTCAGACCATCCTAAAAATGGCCAATAGCCTAATAATTGAATCTGGTTTACTGTCCATTTTCGCTGGTCTTATCGTGGCAGCATTTAGCAAAACAATGCGTGTTTTGTTTATTGGTAAGTGCTTCTTAGCATCATAGTGTTATTTGCATTGTTTTTTTTTATTCATAATATACTGAATAATATACGTATTCTGATTGGTTCTTACTATGATCGCTCCGACGAAGGGCTAACGCTCGAAACGTCAGCTTTTGTAATCATTACGGTCGCCAATTTACCATTTCAACTTTGTTGATATATCCAAATTATTTCGTTACTCCCGCTGACGCAGCCCCAAACAGTTTCTTTCGAAACTATCAGCCTTTATTTATAGGAGTACAGATGCATTGGTGATGTCACATTTAACACCATCTTGCTTTTTCATGTTTAATTTTTCCATATAAAAATAGGAAATTTCATGTTGTTGTGAATTGTACAGAAACAGATCACAGAAAATGTCAAAATGTGGTAATAACAGCTATGACACAGTACTCAACAGCACCTTGTGTGCCAATTTTTTGTTTTTACCACATATTGCCAACATGAAAGATATTTGTTAAATATTTAACAAATGGTTAACACCACAGCATACACTATTTGAGTTATGGATGCA